TCAACGTTCGAAAAGGAATTGTTTGTGCTTAGAGAAGCTCTGCAGCATTGGCAGCTTCCTAGGAGGGCACTTTAAAGTCTACTCTGACCACGAGCACTTCGCTCGTCAAAGACCCATGCCCGGATGACACCTAAGCTGACTATAATGTTGTCGCTAACACGCAGAGTAGGTGTGCAGACGTTTTTGGTGCCATTGTGACCTATCTCGATGCTGGTACCGAACTGCAGCAAACGATCAAGGCTGCGTACGCAGATGATCCCATCTCCAGCGACCTAATTAGTAAGGTGCAGACTGCACCTCATGAAGTCCCGAGCTATAGAAAGATCAAGGGTTTGCTGTTCGAAAAGACTGACGGATAGGCTTTGCATCCCGAACAATGAAGAAATTCACAGTTTAATCCTAGGGGAATGCCACGATACCGAGGGCCACTTCGGTTGGAGGAAGACATATACTAATCTCCTCCAGTCCTACACGTGGGTTGGAATGAAGCACGACTGTATTGCATACATCCAAGGCTGCAAAGTGAGCCAGCGGAACAACAGTTCCACGCAGTCTCCCCTTGGACTGCTAAAACCATTGCCTATCCCATCAGGCCCCGGAGACTCTGTGTCTACAGACTTCATGGACACTAAGGTTAAGCATAGGAATGGAAAGAGTCAGGGTATGGTTCCTGTTGACAGGTTTAGTAAATTTGCTATTTTTACTCCGCTGCCTGCAGAGGCAAAGACCGACTTAGTCATTAGGGAGTTCTTTAACCACTGGGTTGAAGACTACGGACACCCTTCGACTATAGTTAGCGACAAAGATACCAGATTCACAGGTGAACACTGGCAGTAACTAATGAAAGTTTACCGCTCACGATTGACTATGTCATCAAGCAGGAACCCAGAGACTCGGACAGACCGAGCATATGAATAAGATGCTACAGCAAGTGCTGCATATGTACATTAGACCAGACCAGGTTGGCTTGGACGAGCATCTTTCCAAAGTGGCCGCGTTGTGCACACCGAATGAACTGCACAAAGGTTGACAACCAAGGCATCCGATCCATTGTCTAAATCCGGACCAAGTTCAGAGACTGCCGCCTGGTACGAGGGAATTTGCTATAAAATACGAGAAAGTTCTTGAACGAGTAAAGGAGAATATTCGGAAAGCCCAGCACCAAATGGTAGAGTAGGCTAACAAACACCCCAGACCGTCTCAGTTCGCTGTCGCTGAATTGGTATGGGTTAAGTCCAAGGAGTTTGTACTGGCGGAGGGGATATCGCAGAAGTTATTGCCCGCATATAGAGGGCCATTGGCGATGCAGATGGTCCCTCCTATGCAGTCAAGATTCCACCGCATCTGCACACTTACCCAGTCTTCCATGCTTCTAAGTTGCTTTCCTGTGTCCCTAACGACCAGTTCCCTCCGTAAGCTCTAGGATACCACCCGACATGGATGGCAAATGCGATGTACTGAATTGTTGCCGAAGATACATATAGGACAGGATGCAGAGGAAGACCACAGAGACAGTACAAGGTCAGATTTGCTTTCCAAGAACCCGAAGAAGACGGCTGGTTTACTAGGGTTGAACTATTAGAGACTGGCCCAGATATGGTTTCCTACTATGAGAGGGCACGGAGAGGAATTAACATTGTAGATCGCTAAAGTTAGCAACATTCTCAGAGAACCTCGAAACTACATCGGTGGGAGTGAAAGGATTTCATGTTGCAGACACCCGAGTCCCGATCCTAGGGCCCACATTGCCCCGGTCCCAGTTGGGCACAGTCTCAGATGGTCCCAGTCCCACCTCTCCCAGTAGGTGAGTCCAGGGTCGTTAGGGTCCTTAGGTCCGTTGGAGGCCGAAACGTCGTAAGTCGATGTCGGGCCGGTACCATACAGGCAGACCGGTAAAAGTCCAACCGGTACCCGACACGAAAGGTCCAGGAACAAAGTCCAACTTTGCAGCAGCGCCCCAGGAAAATTCCGGAAGGTACCGGGCCACCAAAATTCATGCAGCAGACAGGCTGCGGGCGACCAATACCAGCCAGAAGCCAACCAAGGCCAAGTCAAGTAACTATTAATAGCTGCTATAGTGCAGCCCACATCATCTATTGTTCTGCATGAGTTGCGGAAGCGCTGCTGGTTGCTTGTGCGACCTCACAGCTTGTGCTGTGCGCAACAGGGCCTGTTTGGTGGCACACCAGTTAGGGTTGAGGAAGGAGAAGGCGGCCATAGCCACCATAGCTGAAGCTGCAGTTGAAGTAGAGCAGATGTATCCAGGGTTACAATCCTAGTAGTAGCAGATCGGGAGCAAGAGAGAGAGAGAGAGAGAGAGAGAGAGAGAGAGAGAGAGAGAGAGAGAGAGAGAGAGGAGAGAGGGAGAGACGGAGAGAGAGATAGCCGCAGGGGAGGATACTTGGGCGCGTACCTGATTTAGGTTGTTGTTGCATGCACTGATGAGCGCTGTCAATCTGAAACCTGAATTTGTATAATGTGAGTAGTACTGAGTACTCATTGAAGTTTCTGAGCTGCGCTGATTTGGTGTTCATGTCTGGTTTTGGTGTGAATCTTTGTGTGAGCTTTCGTTGGCCATGTTGTGTGGAGACTGAATCTGAGCGGATCATTGTGAAAAAATAGAAAAGGGGATTATTGAAAAAGACGGTCCAGTCCATGCCTGAGTCTCAGGAAACCCCCCACATAGTCAGCGAATGGCGTAGAACCAGTATTGCGAGAAGTCTATGGGTCGTGTTTTTGGCCAAAGCAAAGTTCTAGGGTCAAACGTAAGCCCGTGGGCCTTGAAATAGTTCTGAGGACGTCTGTAGGTTGTAGGTCTGGGGTCAAGGGTCAAATCGAGGTGCTCGGGGCCTCTAAAAGTCAAGAGCAGGCTCTAGAAAAATCAACAGTTAGGCGGAACCCGGGTATAGAAGTCAAAAAAGCTAAAAGATCTCTCATGACCATAGTTGTGGCGCACTGGTACGGT